CAGGGTCGTGCACCTGCTGGAGCTCCAGTAAACGTCAAGATGACTATAAAACTAGATCAAATGGATTGGAGCTCTTCCAACTGGAAAGATGCAGATGTGCTAGTTTTCAACAGTGGGCACTGGTGGAATTATGAGAAAACTATTAGAGGGTAACTTGTTTTAACCTTCTTTGTTAGTTGGCTTTAGATTTTCTGAAATTTATTTCATTGATGGAATATTTATGTCCGCTGGTTGTGGAAAATGCGTGAGAACGAGTTGCTTGTTCATCTGTCCTACTAAACAACTAAATCGGTCATTAGTCACCTGTAAGATATATTTCTCTTGTTGTTGGCTTACCATCACCTTTTCTTGTCACTCATGCTGCTAATTCTCTCTCATAAATGGACGGATCCAGGAAAGCCATTCAATGCAAGTCTTTTACCTTAAATTCTCCTGCTATAATAGCAATGCCAAGCTAGCAATTAACAGAAACCATGTTTGCTGATTAGGCTTGTGGGTGATTAGCTGAAAAAAATGTTAAGGTGAACTTTTAGGATTAGGTACCATGGTCTGAATAATGAGTTGATAAGAGAGCAGTGGCGAAATAGTCACTACTCCCATAGGATGTCTAGATCATAGTTCCATTTAGTTGTCTTTTCGTGCTATTTTTCGGTAAATATTTTTCTCGAGTGATGTCTGCTTAATGTGTTAAAACAGGATTGAGCATCTTTATTATTAGTTTCCATATTCTGGCACGTAATAATGCAGAACATAAACCAGGGATGTTTCAATTAAAACCTAGTGCTGTAAGGTCGGGTTTCTCTGCTTTACTGGATCTGAACATTCACCATTTTCACTCTTCAGGGGTTGTTACTTCCAAGAAGGAGCAGAAGTTGAGATGGATATGAGCGTACAGAGTGCATTTCACAGGTCAATTCAGACACTGGTTGATTGGATAAGGCGTGAGGTCAATCTAAAGAAGACACACGTATTTTTCCGCAGCTATGCTCCTGTACATTTCAGGTTTGTCTAATTTGTTCTGTTGTTGCGAAGACTGGATTAACCAAATGTGTTTTACCATTTATAGAAGTCGCTCAGTTGTATCATTCAGGTTTTCTACTATGATCGGGTATCAGGCGTGGTCCATTGAATGGTACCAAGCTAGATACTTGAAATCCTTGTTATACATAGGATATCAATTAAGATGATTTACTGCTCAGACTTTTCACCTCAATTCCTTTCAGACTCATGTCAGGACAGGGGGTTAGCCAGTAGTTCTCTGTTCTGTGATCATTTTTACCTTGTTCACAAAATAAGCAATTAACGAATCACTCAAATGAACAGAGGTGGGGACTGGAAGACTGGTGGTAGCTGTCATCTGGAGACACTGCCTGAATTGGTTTCATCACGATTGCCATCTGAAACATCAGTTGAAGTAAGAACAACAACTGATGTGTTTGTGAATCTCATAAAGAAGTCTGAATTGCAGAATGTAGAACTACTGAATGTGTCACGAATGACGTCTCAGAGGAAAGATGGTCACTCATCTTTGTATTATTTAGGGCCCAAGGCCGGACCAGCTCCTCTCCATCGGCAAGACTGTAGCCACTGGTGCCTGCCTGGTGTTCCTGATTCATGGAACGAACTTCTCTATGCTGCGTTACTCAGAAAGGAATTAACTGATGCACAAAATTCAGCACAACATTTGCATCCACCTCCGCTCTAGATTGAGAGACAACTTGACGATCTGTTTTCACTGCGAGCAAGCTGAAGCTGCAGTGATCACTCTAACCGGCAAAATATCAGGTCATGGAAAATATATGTTAATTATTTATTGTATTTCCATATTACCTGTTCCCATCAAAAAGGTGGAGGATCAAAGATGGACTTGCTATATGTGGAAAGAAAATGATCAGGTTCCGTGAAGCTCACAATCGGGCTTGTCTAAGGGCTCCATGCCAATGCTAATTTGTCAGCATTGCTGGAAAAAGCATCTGTATATTCTAGATTGTATGAACGATTTTACCAGATCACAAGTTATACATGTAATTATATTACATTTTCATTGATTTTCTGTAAATTGTACATTTGGAACGGTATATACAAAGGAAATTTGTTGACTTTAGTAGCAACTGATGTGCCCAACATTAGTAATTTGGTATCAAATTGTATCTGAAAATGAAAATTACGAACTTTTGGATGTAATGTCGCTTTTTCTGATACCATTCATATTATGAGCATGGTAGAATTTATAAAATACCTATCAACTTCCCTTTCCCACTATTCCAGTTTATCCCACATACCCATTGCCCACTCTACCTTTTTTTTAAAAAAAAAAAAAAAAATATTACCCTCTTTATATTTTCTAATGACTCAAAATTTGAGAAGATTGCAATTTGATGAGTCTAAAGTCAACTAGGACTTTCATTTTCTAGTCCGTTTCCCTTCTTCATCGTCTTTTTTTATATTTTGTCAACAAAATCATGGACGGCCACTATTGCTTTTAGTTTCTGTTGTAACAAAATGTTGAATTAGTAATATTTTTTTTAATGAGTTAACTTTGAATGTAATCCAACGTTTACGGTGATCTTTGTTTTTCTATTTTATTTTTATTGGTATCAACATCAATGATAAATCTAAAACAAATGGCCCAAAATTACTACCAAATTATAATAATTCCACCATTTGAAAAATTCATAAAGTCTAAAAGATAATATTTGAACACTTTCGTTTCTATCCTATAAATCTAAATCCCTAGTAAAACACCATCAAAAATATCCTGTAATAGCTATAAAATTATTGTTATTATAGCTATTTATCAAACAATAGATATGAATATGAAAATTTTGGCATCTGTTCCTTATAATTGTGCTAGATAATTTTACAATTATGTATGGAAGTAAATTAAAATTCATTAAATGAGGGTATTTTAGGATATTCATTTAAATATTTTGATCAAGGTAATGTTATTTTAAGATTTGGTTACTAAAACTATTAAATCAAGGAAGGTAGTTGTAAGTTTACAAACCTTAGTTAGACGAGCTCAATGATATTATTGTCAGTAACTTCGTTTTTGAAATTATCCCTACCATTTACCACAATAATTAAATTCCACCATGCGTAGCAGTGAGATACCCAAGAAAATGTTTTCCACATGGTGGGCATTGAATTCAGATTAACGCCCCTCGAAACCATTATTGGTGGCACCAAAATATCTTTTGTTATCTGTCTTTGCTTGTGACATCTACTAAGGAGACAACAGAAGTTGCCGGGCCTGGCTTGGCTTACCTTTTTTTTGGTAAAGGCTTGGCTTACCAAAATTAACTTTGTTTTTTCCTTGTTTAAATGAATTCCTCAGTACCAACGTCCAATCAGCGAACGAGGCCGGCACGAAATGCGACCACCGGTCCACCATCACGAGACAAGCAAGAAACAGCCCAAAACGAGGACATCGCCGACGATAAACAAACTAAATGCGGGGCATTTCAATTTTCAACTTGCAAAAGATCAACCATAAATAAAAGACGAAGCTCCAGAGAAGAAGACCAAGCAAAAGAAATCATGGGTCTTGCTCGACACGTTACGGCAATTTCTGCAGCAATATTAGTTGTTGGGATGGCGGGTTCACTTTGTTGGTCCGTGGAAAGTGCTGCAAACACCCAAGTCGTGACCGTGCTGTGCAATTCTGGGGTGTATTTTCGAGGTGATCCTTTTGCTATCAGTCTTGCATATGTTATTGCAGATTTAGAGACTCAGACGCCATCGCGCAAAGGTTATGATTACCGCAATATTTCTCCTTATCCCAATGCTTTTGCCTACGGCCAAGCAAATTGCAACAAAAACATAACTAGCTCAGATTGTGAAAAATGTCTAGTTGCTGCTAATACGACGATGATCAGCGGTTGCGGTAGCCGGATTGGTGCTCGTGCTGTGCTCCTCGATTGTTCGATGAGGTACGAGCAGTACCCCTTTTAGTGGTGATTTCCCTTTGTACTGGATACCAGCGAACGTGTGTGTGATCGAAGCTTTACGTTTTCTGATATTGCAAATTACCATCATCATTCTCAATGTATGCGATTTTGGATGTCTTTCCAACTACCGGTGCTCATATCGATCTGACCCTTTTCAGCGTACCAAACGATCGATGGGTTGTCTTGGAAATAAAGCATCATTGCATGAGTTGAGCACCTTGTATGCGAACACAACCTATGTGTCTCGTCATATCAAAATTTGAGTTGTTTATAAAATTTGTGGTAGAAGTAGAATTTTGTGATTTTTGTGCTTGTGTGTGTGTTTTTTACCACCGACAAATGGGTAGCCATAAATATCTATTGTAACTGTTGGATATTCATGAAGTCAGAAATAATTTGTGAAGAAAAAGCTGAGAAGGAAGAAACACCAGAGGTCAAAGGGGGTGAGTGTTTTTTTTTTTTTTTTTTGACCATCTTGGTGAAATCCCGGGTTGATAAGTCTGGACCTTATGCTAAAATGTTAATACTCCTCATTATTGATGAGTGATTTGGATGCAAATTTTTTTTCTTTTTTTTGGGGGGGGGGGGGCCCAAGGGCATCCCTATTCTCTTATCCTTTTTATCTTTATTTTTATTCCTTGGATAAAAGAAAAAAGAAAAAGCTGCACTGTAAACTCAACAAAGCCAACGACGAGGAAGCTTATGAGGGTATAATGGTTTATTTTCATATTAAAGGTACCCAATATTTGATATTTGGTTGCGTTTAAGTAATATTTATCCTGCAAAAAGGTTAAAAAATATTCTTGCGTCCTTACCCTACGTTTTCTTAATAAGCATATAAAAATCCTTGCGGTAACAGAGTGTTAACCTCCTAGATTTGTAGAAACACAAACAAAAAAAAAACCATAGGATCAGATTTTGTTGCAGTACTTAGCTAACAAAATCACCCGTGTTGACTTGACACACCATATCATGCGCAAGTACAAAAAGATGATGCATCAAGAAAGATGAATTAATGAGGCCATATATATATATATATACAGACAACATTTGAAGGCACTGGTAATAGTTGCTTACACATAACAAAAAATGATGATGCATCAACTGCAGTGCTACAATTCTAGCTAATACGTCGTATCACACTACTGTCACACTTCCATCGGGTCGCCATATTTATGTTTCATTTTCGCCTTTTCCTGAATTCAGAGAGAGAGGAAAGGTGATATTTCACTGGATTGACCACACAGTCGATTTACTTGTTATTTCAAGTATATTGATTGATGCCAAAATCAAGTGTATTGATTAATGTTAAACATCTGGGTTCTTGGTCCTAAAATAAGCAAGCTGTCCCAGTTTTTCCACCTCTTGCGCTATTACTTCCACATTTTCTGATATCTGCATTAAGAGGAAAGTGAAGGTTGCCATCGCAAGATTTTCATCTTTTTCTAGTCCTTTGATTTGCAGAGAAGAGCCCAACCGGCTTAGTTCTTGTTTAATGAACTCCAGCTTTGGTGCTATCAAAGCCTTGGCTCGGCACCTTGTCATGTTGAAGATGCTCTCGCCCAGCTCTCTCAATATCCATGCAAGAGACAACCCTATGATTTCGCACGGTTCTCTGATTGCGCGGCTTTGGTTTGCTGCAGCCTGATGGATGGAGCCGGAAAAAAGAAAAAAAAAATATTTTTTTTCAGAATTTTAAATTTTTTTTTTTAAAAAAAAAAAAACCCAGGAATGGATGCAGAATGCGTTATTATTATTATTTTTTTGTTTGTGGGGTTGTTGGGGGGTGGGGATGAAGAACAACATGGAGAGGAGTAGGACTGTCACTCAATTGAACACCTGTCTGGATGACTGAACGCACACTCCGAGCGAAAGGATTAAGGCGGCGAGCTCCCTCAGGACCTCTCCAATCTCCAGATACTTGTCCCATGGATGAGACAATCCAAATTTCCCATGCCAGGGCTCCCATTTAGCAAAATTGGCCTGCATTAATTATTGTTAGAAGGATTAGTTTCTTAAATTTGCAGGTAAAATACACGTGCCCTGACAGGGAAAATTACTAATAGTATAAAAAACTCCCATTAAAATCTGATTGTTTCTCCACCCACCAATTATTTATTTCAAGAACTCCATATATATATATATATATAACTGTTGTTTTTGTGTGTGTGTGTGTCTTCTAAAAGCAGATCAAAACGTACCAGTGATTCATCGGTGGACTTGGAGTGGAACACTGACTTGCAGTCCTTGACCTTGGCGCCCAGATTTTCTGCTTTGTTGTTGGGTTCCTCCTCCAAACATCCTACAAATTAATCAAATCCGCCATTCATTTACTTATATGATGTTCCGTTCAGTGAAATCGCGCGGCTAATACATTGTGCATGCCTTTGCTTTAATTAAAAAAGCCAAACAATACAATGATTCCCCGATTTAGGTATATACGCCAAGTACAGAAGTAGAACTAATTTCAAAAAATTACCTTCAAGGCAACGTGCGAGTTTGTCGAATTTAGCTGCTGTAGAACGATGAAGCTCATCACCAGCCCAAATTGGAAAAATAAGCAAGTTGGTGAAAATGCAGACAGCAAAACCCATGCCAATGGTTGACAGACGCTGCTTGGCTAACCTGATCACTTTGTCGGCCCGTACCCCCGACACAGCTACCAGATTGAAGGTGAGGATGAAGATCAAGACGCCATAGTCATATCTCCTTTTAATTCTTGGAACCAACCTCGAATACGTTGCGGCCGCTCCTGAGTATGATTTTTTAAGCAGTGAGTCACTTTTAAGTACTACTAATATATATATATATATATATATATATGTATGTATGTATACACACACACACACAAAACTGCGGTCCAGAGTTTAAGTCGTGGTAGGATTAATATTTTACCGACGATAAAAACCGAAGCGCCAACAACGATTGCGTTGCCTATCCCTCCGAACTCGTCAGCCAACATTGCAGCCAAGCACCCCAATCCACCGCCTAATATGGTACCGATTGCACGGTTTATGCCTTTGCTTAGCGTAGCTCCTGACATACGTGCATCAAATCAAAGTGAATACATCAGTTAGTATATTGTCTAATTGATTGACCCAAAAAATGGCTACAGTAGAAGTTTCTCAACCTGCTTCCTATTAGTACTTATGACTAGTGTGTTTATTGCCCAAAAAGGAAAAAAGAAAAAAAAAATTCCTATGCATATATTCGCAAACAGCCATGCACAGAAAAAATGTTTTTAGTACTCCACTAAACAACTTGGGTCACAATAATGGGTTAATAATTGGCAAACCTGCAGAGAACTCGAAGACAACCACGACGGTCATGATAGCCCACATTGCATTTTCTCCAACTTCAGTGAACAGCGGATCCAGCAGATACAGCAGCGAGACCAATACCAAGGCAATCCCCACCTTGACACTGTGAATCACTTTTCTCATGCTGCCCTGACTACATCTTTTTTCCTGGATGACCCGGAAAGCAACACTACAAGTGGATAGAAACGAAAACTTGTTTCCCATGTTTTTGGCGTCCTTATACGAGGATTCAACATTTTCTGCACTTGGAGGAATTGGAATGACGGTTGAGTTCATCACTCCTTCTTGCTCAATTCTCTTTATCTTTTGGGCCTGGTAGAGTTGATACTGGGTAGTACTGTTACTCTTGTCAGGTGCCCGTATATCTTTGCTAGTCGTAAGAGAGCTGGGATATGGGCGATGCAACCATGCACGCATGATGAGATGATTATATAGTTAGCCGGCAGAGAGGTAGACATACGACTATACGAGTCGCAGTCGTTACCTAAATTGCGTTCGCCAAAGAAAAATATTGAAACCTTTTCCAGTAATTTGATTTGGTCGTACTACACCAAGCATCATATGCAATTGTAGTTCTCATGATCAGTCAGGTGTGTCTTTTCACACGTTGAAAGTTTTGTCTTCGAAACTTAGTGACTCGTGCATTCGGAAGTGGAACGCGCTCCTTACGCACCATCAGGATTATTTATTAAACCAAAAAACCAAAAAAGCTTTTTTTTTTTTTTGGGAGAAGAGGGGGGGGGGGGGGACACACCAGAAGCGCTTACTAGTGCGTACCTAAATGTATATACCTATGCCTTTAACTCGGACGGGATCGATCGATCCAACTGTTTAAGCCGGTAATTGATCAGACACTTGATTCAAGTTTCTTCAAAAACTCATCTGTCAAATATTCGGTCAAAACTGTGTTTAACCGAAAAATCTGTCAATTTGTATTTATAACTTCCAATCGTCAACTTTGAGTTAAGTTTAAAGGGCATTGGAGTATAGAATGTTTGCTAATAAAACTTGAGAAATAAAACTAACATTCTTATCCATGTTAAGAATATAATTTTTATATATAATATAATAAAATTTTAATTATATAACATTATTCAATTATTTAACATCAGTCCGATCAGTCGAAGTCATTAACCCCTAATCTTTAACTCTAATCTAAGTCACTATTTAGCCTGAATTTTAAAGCATAGGTACATATAGAAAGCCTGCCTGGTTTGGTTTGTGATTTTTTGTCAAAAACTTTTTACGTTTTTTGTAAAAGTATTTTTTAATTTTTAATTTCATATATATCAAATCGCTACGATACATTTTTTTTAAAAAAAAAATCCTAAAAATAACAATCATGTCCTTGATGGAATGTCCACACTACGTTACTACTGGGCATCAATCAAATGGCCACTATTGGAACTTGTTGATTGGATAATACGATGCAAGCAACAAAAATGATTTGATTGATGTAGCACATGCACATAGTTCATTGTAGTATTAGTTAGAGTACACTTCGGGGTTCAGGCTCTCAGGTTTAAAGATCGTTCCTGCTTTAGGCATTTGGGTTGGTGGGCAAGCAAGCACCATACTCTCCGTCAGCTTAAGACGGAGGCCGACATTACTGCGCCCATTAACTCAACTCCCCTCAATGGCTCTTCTATCGGCTGCTACCCATGACATGGTTTTAGTTTCCGGTCTCGAAAATGGCGATAAAGTCAGAGAGCATTTCCATCTTATTAGTGACAGATATATTATCTCCTAATTCCCTTTTCTTTTTCGTTTTGATGTTGAAAAAGCTAATATATCATCTCCTAATTTAGCTGCCTTTTTGCTGGTTTTTGCTATCTGAACTTTTTAGCAAAGTGGCTGAATTAAGAAACCTCTGATAAAAGTTCGTCAGTCACAATCATAATGATTATGATTTACAGGTTAATGGAAATGGGTTTTTGTCGAAATTCGTACACTGTTTGGCAACTAAAATCTAGACATAGGTTTTACAATTTTTTCCTTTTTCGTCGTCTTTCTCCTATTTTTTTCACTGCTCTTTTACAATTGACTTCTTTTTATTTTTAATTAAAAATATATGAGATACATGGTTAAGCAAATTTTAATTGTCTACTGAAATATAATTAATCACAAAACTCATAGAATGGGTCTATCGTGTTCATTATCTCATTCTGATTAATTTTAACCAAACTATCAGTATGATCATATTATGATTAAGTTTGAAACTTGTAGAGGAGCTAATTGTCCACCGACATGTGTCAGTTCTTTCGGGCCAGTTCGGCCCAACATATGAGCCTGTTTGGTCATAGGTCGAACTGGCAAGGAAGCTCCTCATTCTTCGGGACAAGGCCAGGATTAGAGTCCAAGAGGGGCTCTGCTTCTAGTGATCCAGTAGAACTCATATTCTAATGAGATAATTACTGTGCGTAGTGGAATAACTTTGGATTCCCTGAAAATTATCGCTAGCAGCTCTATAAATAAGGAACGGAGGGAACCTAACAAGGTACATACACACACAACGCCATACAATACAATTACTTTCTCTATTCCCTCTTATTTCTCAACTGATTTGAGCGTCGGAGTTACAACGGAGAGCTAGTCCCTCTGTTCGACTTATTGCAGGTCAGTTCGGGAACACACACAGAAGCTCTGTTCGAATTGTGATTTCGGCATACTCTTCAAAACTCATTCCTTAATATAAAATCCACTTACCAAACACCCTTTAAGCAATCTATTACTGGGCTAGCTGCGAATAATGATCAAGCTGAGAGGCATCAATTCAAAGAAGTCAAAGAACGGACAATTGGATTTTGAGACGATAAGGAAGGAGAGGTTGAGTTGGCACGACTGAGAGTAAGCCTAGGCATGATTAATCATAGGACGGCTTCCGTTTAGGTGCTTCGTATTGGGCCACTAGTAATTGTCATTAACCGGAATGCATCATCATTTTTATTTTTCTTATTTTAATTTTGTCTACAGCAAAGTCAATCCGTGGTTTTGTCTTCTTTTAACTCTAAGGGAGGGAGTGGGAGTGGTTTCCAAGATCTTTTTCCTTTTGGCAGAGTTCATGATACCACCGGTCAATTTTTCTTCTATGCACAGTCCCGCCCACGTTAACTTAATAGAAAGTCCAAAAAAAAAAATCATTGAAGCTGCCTCAAGATTAACCATGCATTAATATGTTTGGATAGAAAGACTTTTACTAGTTTTTTTAAAAATTAAAAATGGGACGGGTAATTAAACCACCCTTAACTCTAGATTATGAATAACATGCTAACATTTTGCTTGCATCACAATACAATATCTAATCAACTTTTTATCTTCTCAATCACCTTTTTATTTCACATATATCATGTCACAAAAAAGATCATAATAATTATTTTAAATAATTTCCTATTCAAACACACTTGTTACTAGCTAGATGTGCTTTGAAGACACCATTATTTTAAAGTAATTTTTTGAGAAAAATATTATATAGATCATATGCCATATAATATTCTCATGTCATGAATTAAAAGCAATAGAAAATTGCCAAGTATAAAATGATCTTCTTTTTTTTTTTACGTTGGCAGAATTTATGTTGCAACTATAAAATATAAACTTCATAAAAATTAGATAATATGTTAGGGACTAAATCTTAGTTAATACCTCCGTTAATCGAGACCTTGGCGGGTCGATAACCAAATGCTAAGAGGTTGATGAATGAGATAGGAGTTCATATTATTGCGATGTCCAGGGTACTCACTGGACAAGAAATGACCCACTATCATTATATGAGGGGTTTAAAATGATTTTTTTTTTTTACGTTGGCAGAATTTATGTTGCAACTATAAAATATAAACTTCATAAAAATTAGATAATATGTTAGGGACTAAATCTTAGTTAATACCTCCGTTAATCGAGACCTTGGCGGGTCGATAACCAAATGCTAAGAGGTTGATGAATGAGATAGGAATTCATATTATTGCGGTGTTCACGGTACTCACTGACAAGAAATGACCCACTATCATTATATGAGGGGTTTAAAACGATTATTTTTTTTTACGTTGGCAGAATTTATGTTGCAACTATAAAATATAAACTTCATAAAAATTAGATAATATGTTATGTTATATACTTAGATTCAGATATATTAAAATTCGTCCTCCATCGTATGGTCCAAATAAACTTAAGAATGTCCAATTCATAAGAAGCACGAATATGACCATGCATTGATTTCGTTTGGATGGAGAGACTTTTACCATTTCATCATATGGGTAAATAACAACTGGCGCTAACCTTGTACAGTGAAAACTACAATGGATTATAATACCTGTCATAGAAAATCTTTGAGAGTATCTTTGAGTAATGGTAGCACGTCAGACGTGATGATTATTATCTAAGAAAATTCTGGAAATAAACATTAGAAAATTACAGCTACAACGGTATTGGCCTCCATTTCCAACGTCCGGTGGAGAAATGAGTCAAAATGCTTTTTTGCTGTCTAACTCTAACCACGGCTGCTTTACTTTAGAAGTACGGTGTCTGTACCACACAAGAGCTTTTGATTAGTGATCACATTTTATGTCTTCTTTATCTTTAGTGCTATTAATTTAATACTACTAAGATAGTGACCTTTCTCGAAAGAAACTTGTCGTGCTCTAGTGTTTGAAGGCCACTTTCCAATAAAATTTCCACGGCCACACGGCGGCGGTGGGAGGGGGTAGAGTTTAAAGCTAACAGAATGAAAATGGCAGTAGTGTCGTACATCATCATTGATCATCCTGGCCTAACTTTTGTACTAATCATCCGTACTTATAGACAGGCGACCTCCAGCACCTGAGGAATGTGGGTAATTAAAATTTAACCGCCATTAAAGTTATGGACTTGATAGCATGCATGTTTATTTTCCAGCATTTAAAAATATTCAAGTTTAGGAATGTGTTAGACAATTACGACGGTCCTTAATTTTGATGTATCATATCTCAGGTTGAAATCACCGTTAAATGTAGACAATTAATATTGATGTAGTATAGTTTTTTTTTTTTAAAAAAAAAAAGTTTATTTTTTCAAAAAGGCTTTCTCTCTTATGCATGTGCCTATAAAGACAAATAGGATAAGAGATGATCTCTTATAAATGTCAGGCACTATGAACTGCCGTTCTGAATTTAGGAAACTTTAGTAAAAGCAATTTAAACTTTTTATAAACAGCAAACTACTAGCTAGACCTACCTTTGCTCAAATACAAAATAGCCGCCCGAGTGGAATCTAATAATATCAGTTGGGGAAAATTTTACCTAGCTACCTACTATTTAAGCACTAAAACGTACGTACACCCCCCTGATCGCATAATCCAATTGGCGAAAAGAAATGTCTTAATAGATTGTCACTACACGTTTTGGACGCGAGAAAGTTCCACAAATTAAGACGATAAGCAGATAAAGAGCAGGCAAATGCAAATGAATGGTGTCACGTTTTCATCCATTAACAAAAA